GGAGGGGAAAGGTAACTATGTATGGTAATTCAACCATGGACATGGGGCGCATTGTGAAAATCATATAATTTCCATCTTTAAGGTTTCAGACTAATATCGTTAAGGTGTTTATGTAAAGAAGTTCCTAGTGCATCAAACTGTCAAATTTGATGAGCACGTGATTTATAAGAGACATATATCATATAAACTATAAAATATTGCAAATGTTGTGATCAGGAAATGGTAGACTGAGAGTATATCGTAAAGATGAAAATACATTTACCTTAATATTGTAATAGAGTACTACGAGAATTGAATTTGATGACAATTTTATGCTATGCAATATATTCGAAAGGGGTTACAAAATTAAGGACCACCAAGGAAATTTATTTTTTATGAAACGAAATTCAAAATTATATATAATGCATAAGTATAAGTATAAGTGCCTGTAAGAGCAAAATTTTAAAAATAAAAATAGAAATACCTTTGGCCATGCAGACAAATGCGGCGAGTGCAAGTACAACGGTGAACTTAGTCATTTTGATGAAGTTTTAACACTGGAACTGACCCTTGTAAATGGTATGAAGTCTTGTGAAACTGTGATGCCTAAGTCTGAAACTCCTAATTTATATAACGAACTGAAGAACCTTGAGTTATTGTTGCATTGATATTGATGTGTTGGGGAACATAGGGAAAATTGAAATAGTCTCTTTTCTTGTGCAACTTTCAAAAAAGAAAGTTTTTATGGTTTATCTATTTGAATTATGTCCTAATTCTAAACCAATTTAGAGACGTGTTAGCTTTATTATTTAAATATGTTATAATTTATTGATCAAGATTAGATTCACAGATTTCTGGGACAACACATGTATCAAGTACATTTTGCATTTTAAACCGTACCAAAATCAATTTTTTTATTATTCCTTTATGTTAGGCTAATGCATACTCCATATTTACCAGAGGGAGACTTTGTACAAAAGTCGATTGCTTGGGTACCTCTGTCCCATTCGTGTTTCTAGCGTGAAGGAGTTGAGTTTCCATGGCTATGTTTCGGTTTGATGGTTGGGATATGGCGTGAATTTACTGGGTACAGAGGAATAACACCTGAATCCTCAGGAATGGCAACGCATGGGGGTATCATGGGCGAAACAGTGTGTACTGTTATGTCCATGGTACTGCTCATGTTTATAGGCGACGGTTACCACTTTCCATCAGGTGGGCCGTCAGCTTGTTTACCATTCTAAGTCGTATGAAAAAAAATACTCACAAACATATTTATCATCACATCAAATAAACATATTTTCATATAGATCTTAACTATTTAAACATAACATGTGCTTTAGTACTTCCAGAAACGGACCTAAGAATAACTAATTTAATAAAAATTCTTTTCTTTAATAGTCGAGTAGTGCTGTTGCTCCTTTTACCCTAATGGGGAATTTTAAAATGTAAAAATAAAAAATGTTTTAAATATAAGACTAATGCTAACAAATGGGACAATATATTATTGTAATTGTGCTCACTTATCATCTTTTGTTAGTGTGACTAATATTCGGAAAAATTCATGGGACATATATTAAAGTGTTATCACATTGAATGAAGATGTCGAACTTTATTATCCATTCACTTGCTTAACAATTTGCTAATGAAATTTTCCGTCGTCGATGTTTTTACCTTTTATACAAATCTATCATCACGTCGCTGTGAAAAGGTAGCTGTGTGAAGGTGAAAACGATTGGCATTGACGTTTTCTATTATTTTCTGTAGAGTTTGGATATCTATGAACAGTTTTCCTTTTTTTTTATGGTCCCTACAAGTACTTAAAATGGCGAAAGAACTTACGCCCCGTCTAATAGGAAGTGGTATTTGTCATTTGTAGCCATGAACAGAACGGAGATATGTAAATCGAAAAATATATTGCGACACCCATTACCATTTCTAAGGAATAAGATGTTACGGGCTGACTTTCAGCAAATGAGATTTCTGTCTAATTACAGTGAACTTTTTAGTTCTGAGTCTTCAGAAAAATTGAGATTCCCAGAAAGCTTTTATAAAATACTTCTTTCTATATTTCGATGTTGTCGGCTTTTCTGGGAACTCGAAGTTGAAAATACAGTTGGAAGGTCCATCGAAAATGAACAGAAGTTGCACTTGCTGACAATATTCCTATATCCTCTGTACCCTGTGATAGCTCTGCCATATTCCAACCTTCAAACCAAAACACACCCATGCAATTTTATCCAAAGACTAAACAAGATAGGTACCGGCAGTTCATCGGGAAACTTTGTACAAAGGTTTGGGCACTTCTGTCTCATTCGCGTTTCTACCGTTAAGCAGTTATACTCGTATTTGCATGGCTGGTTTCCTGTTTGTGATATGGCGTGAATTTACAGGGTATAGAGGAATAACACCTGAGTCCTCAGGAATAGCAACATATGGGGGGTATCATGGCGAAACAGTATACTCTATTATGTCTATGGCATTGCTCATGTCTATAGCCGACGGTTACCACTTTCCATCAGATAGGCCGTCAACTTGTTTACCATTCTAAATTGTATAAAAAAAAGCAAATGGATTGCTGAGAATCACTTTTTCATTGCCCCCGTACCTACTAATGTTGTCAAGATAGAAGTCAGCTTCTTAGTGGAACAAATCCTCTGACTATTAAGCGCGGTCACAGACCATGTCTTACCTCCTGTCATGTCCTTTGTGTTCTTTATCTTGCACGAAGGAGGATCTGAATAAAGCAATCAACTGTGTTATGTAAGTTACTAATTTCTGGTATAAATATATTAAGATTGCTTATTGACTAGAAAGAAGAAAAAGAATTTTGTTTATACTGACTGAGGTGGTAAAAAAATACAGTCTGACGATAAGCGATTATTATACAAACTATATAGTTGGGAGGGATTGTTAGTAATGCGAGCTACCAGTCCCATTGCTGGCTATATAAAGTATATGGTCAACCTCCCCGTGGTAACTGAACTAACCTGCCTTTTCATTCTCACCTATCATCCTTCACTGGTTCTATAAGCGCAGGCGAGGTTACCAATTCATTATCATCCATTAAAATATCTTTGTAGCGTACTATCAATTATAATTCTATGTATTTATTTCTTATTAATAAAAGTTTCGAAAACAAATTATATATCTTGGTATCTACTTGAGTGTGGGTGCAAAATTCATCCCTTTAGTCAAGTATAATAAATTGTTTTTTTTGGGTTTGCTGGAAGAAAACTCTATCAGAGTTAAGCTCGCCTTTGTACTTTTGATTACCTCTGTCATATTTTTATAATTAATGTGTACAATAAAGTATTAAATAAATAAATAAATAAAATAAATTATTAGCCCGCCAAAATTGTAATTTAAAACATCTACAAGCAGTTTTCTTACAATCTAAAATATTAGAATCTCATATAGAAAAAAGCACAGATACTGTTATAAATTTATCCACTATCAATTTGGACATATTATTTTTTATTTTAATTTCAAAATAACCAGATGGACGTACGGATATTTTTGTTGAAATTGGTCAAAAATTTATAAAAACTAGTTGTATCATATTGTGATCTTCAAAAGGCTATATAATCTTCCTCGAGAAATGAGCTAGCTATCTAATGCGAGAAAAATAATTTGAAATTCTATTGAGAATTCCAGAAATTTGTGATTTCAATTAAACAAACTTTTAAACTTTTCCGCTTATTTTTTTTTAATTAATCAAATTGTTTGTACAATTACATTTTTGCACAAGTACATATTTTTCAAAGCGCATATAACACTAGAGGAGGCGCATCCTGACGATTTTTAGAAAAAATCTCTGTGATTTCTTAAAACAAAATAACGTTTACCAGTTAGGAGCTTAAGCTTAACTGACATTTTCTACATTTATCGCCAATATATTGAGGTACTTTTATACAGTTTAAAAGTAAAAAACAAATCGAGTATATATAATTATTTTATTTTTTGCATTCATTTACCTTAAATAGGTTTACCATGACCAGTTTCTTAGATGATACCCTATCAGGTGTGACAATTATTTACATTTTTGATTCATTTTCAATATATGAAATTATTTTAAATAACAACATTGTTCATGTTTATGCAAATGTCTAATGCATATGTCTAATGCATATGAGATCTATCGTTGCATAAGTGATTTGCATCAACGTTTAGTTAAATTTTTTTCAAAATGAAGGACATTCTCAATTCGACAGTTATTTTTATATGATACTAGCTGTACCCCGCGGCTTTTCCCGAGTTATTATTTATATAAAGTATCCTATCTTTTAAGTTACTATATGAGTTATCCTTATTTAAAATTTTATTTGAGTTAGAGAGTAATAAACATCCTCAAAAACTTTTCGAACTAGTTATTATTTTACTACTTGCAATAGTAATTAACATATCAAACGATATTTTTGTCCATTTGTATAATTATTTTAATAGAAAGGGTTTAACCCTTTGTTTATTACTTCATATTTTTAACTTCAGTGACTTTTTAAATCTTTTATTATAGTAGCACTGGTATCGACACAATCGAAGTAAAAAAAGGTAAAAAATCGAGAAGAATCGAGTACACAAGAATTGAGGTAAACTTTAAACTTTAAAAAGAAAATATATTGTGTTTAGTTTTAAATTCCTTGTAATAGATTGAAGTTTTTTCATTAACATATTATTCGATCGATTGAATTTTAATGATAAAAAATCAAAAACAGAATTCAGAATGGATTTTTAATAACAATATAATATTGATTTTGAAAAAACACCAAAAAAAAATCAAAGATTAATATTATTACAAAACGAAAAAAAATTAATATATCAAGAAAAATATTATTTTGAGTAGCATTAATGCACAAATTTTTAACTAACTTTTAACAATAAATCTATTAATTAAATATTTACTTTATTACTTGAATAATCTGTAAATATTACTCATTATTTTGTTGTATTGACGTACAATAATAGCTATTTATAAATAATATAGCTTTTCTAACAAAATCATAATAAAAGAGTCCAAAAAGTCGAGAAAACTTTTTTACATTTATTCATTATTTTCGCCGCTGTTTTCGTTCGTGTTTCTCTCTTCATTGTTGTTTTCATCATCTCTGTCCCCCTTTTTAAACTCTACACCTTCCTCATTAATTTTTCCACCGACATTGGTTACTATATCACTACCACCACTGCTTTTATCAACTCCATTAACATTTGACGATTCGTGATGTGACGATGTGGAGACTGCCACAAAATTCTCCCCCTCTTTAGGTTGATAATTGACGTCGATCGGTTTGAATGTTATTGGCTCGAAAACAAACGGCTTGAACACAAAAGGTTTGAATGTGAACGGCTCAAATTTCGGTATCTGTAAATTTTGAAGAAATGTAAATAAATGTAAAGAAAAAAATGACAGACATAATAAAACATCAAAGAAAGATTTAGTACTAAATTCTTCACTTGTAACCTGTGTTCTACTCGTGTTTATGTCACAAAGAATCTCTTGTTGCATGACTATATTTCGGTTTGAAATGGAATATGACAGCAAAATTACAAAAGTATGGAATTATTACAATTTAACAGCGTTCACACCGAAGCTTACCGATTGTGATTACTAGAAATATTGGATATATTTAAGTGGGCAAGGTCCTAATTATTTGACAGTTTTCAAAAATAACTTAGTATGTACATTATATAAATTGCAAAAAGTATAATCAAAATCAGTTCAGAATTGACGAATTATATCGTATATTCATTTTAAAGTGGCTTATTTAATGTGTTATTACAATAATAATATTAATTATATACTAATATATTATACACAGGAGTACATGCTATAAATATTTATATTATTGAATGTGTATTTTTTTATAACATAGGTAGTTTTGATGAAGAATTAAATTAATTAAATAAATGAAAATAATATGTATTATTTCCAATTCAGGTGTGAAGACGGTCAATGCATCATTGTTATTCTATTAACATTTCTTTTAGTATTGTTAAGTCGTTAAAATATTACGCGCGACAGTCACCAGTAGATTATCATTTAATAGCTATGTACAAAGTAAATGTATTGGTGTGTGTATTGATAAGAAATATATAAAAAAAACCTGCATAATATTCTTAATAGAAGATATGAGATATTTTTAATCAAAGGCATAGATAAATATAGATGATATAAAGCATTCCAATCTGCAGGCAAATTTTATTGTTTGTTAACTTATATGTTTTTTAGAAATAAATGTTGTTTCTCTTACAAAACTACGAGCCTTTATAGTAAAATACTATCCGCTTTTTACACCAAATCCCTTAGATAATAACATCTGTATTGCTATTTTTTAATCTACTATTTTTTTTTAATTTTTAAACTTTATTTAAGACTTTTGAATCGAAATTTAGTCAGATACGATTTTTTTTAGCTTACTTAAGACTGTAAATACTCAGTGAACTATAGAGATAACGCTACTCAAAGTTTCAATTAGAAATAAATTAACACGCAGTTATGTTATCTATTTAAATCCAGATTTGATTAGTGCCAAAACTCTAGAAAAATAATATATTTGATATATGTGCACTATTGTTAATCATATGAAAGATATTTTCCTCTACACCTTTTCTGATAAATCGAGAATTTCAAGTCTAAATAGATGGATTTTTTAAATTAATCCTCTATGTAAATTACCTTTGGGAATATGGACTGAAACAAAAGACAAATCCATTTTAATATAATTGAAATATAATTAAACTAGCTTAATGGAAGAATGAGTATTCTGTGAAATTATTAGGGTGACATATTGATGTATCGGTTTTAAATCACAGTACTATGAAAATGTATAGCGTGTAGCGGAATGGGTGTAACAAGTTGCAATCGAAAGAAGATGAATTCGTGAATCTTCCCCAAGAATACTTTCTTTTGAATAAATAATTTTGCGATTTATTTTTTTATTTTCTGATCAAACCTATAATCGTGCGTAACTGAATTACAATTGGTAAACCCTTTCCGACTAGAGCTCTCAATGAAATGAATTTTATAATTTTATGACAATATGTACAAAATATGATTTTTTTATTATTTTTTTTTTTTATCATAATGAATTTAGTGTTCGTCTTTATGTTGATGTAGTGTATAATAGCTATTTACCTGTGTATCCTAATATGAACTCCAGTCTAAGTGTAAAAATTAGTTGCTCTACAATAAAATAAACATACATATTATAATATTTTTATATATTTAAATATTATATTCCATCAATTGCTTATTTATTGGCTTACCGATGATTCTCTGAAACAAAATTCAAAAAATTAGAATCACATTATCTTGCTAAATTTATTGGGCTTTGATAAAAATAAGATGAAGTAATCCATGATTTTTTTTTAATAATTGTACTTAACATGGAAGTAATTTTTATAAAAAATATAATAAGTCCCATTGAATGCATCAAATCAAATATTGTATACACGTCTAATGCTAAAAACAGTATTTAAGTGGCTGTGCATGATGACAGATTTATTTGATATAGTAATAATAGTTTATTCTTATTACAATCAGCACATTGTTAAATTATGTAAAAGTAACAAAATATTTTCCTTATTTTAGGATTATCCAAAATATTTTAAAACTTACTTCTTTCTATATATTCAGTAGTTGTTCATAAAATATAAGGTTACATTAAAAAAAAGTAGCATTCAATTTCGGGTTTACATGTATTCCAATAGAATTTATTTTACATAAACCACAAATGATTTACCTTTACAGTATTACAGACTTTTAAATGAAAAAATATTTTGTTTATTATTCTATATAAGAAATATATACGAAGTTATGACTTACTTTCTGGACTCTTCAAATTTAGGGGGATTGTCTCCAACTGCAACATAATAATATTATAATAGTAAAGTCTTATTCAAAATAAGCCTTTTTAAATAAGTTAATAATTATAGTTTCTTATAAAAAAAGTAAATAAAAAAGAATTATAACATATATATATATATATATATATATATATATATATATATATATATATAATACGTCACATAAACAAGCAGTATTTTTATTGAAATTTAATAAAATCAATAAATAAAAATAACCAACACATTTATAAACAAGTCTACAGTCAAAAACAACATAAAACGACTTCAAATTTATTTATTTAATCTTTAGTACAACATATGTAATAGTGTAATAAAAGCATTCTCTCATAGTCAATCAGTCAGTGATATAAAAAAAAGATTTTTTGAAAATATTAAATATATAATAATATTAATATTCAGTTATATTTCTTCGAGATACAGTTTAATAGCATATAAACTTCCGAAATAATTAATTAAGTATTCCGAAACGAACTTGCCAGATCCCTACTTCGAATGCCCAATTTTTGGCTAATTAAAAAAAAAGCCTATCTAGAATTTATAGAGAATAGGATTTAGATTTTTTTATGAACTAAGGCAAAGACGTAACTGCGCTAGATCGGGTATTTACGTTTTGTATTTTTCAAATTCGCTAAAGAGGTGCATAGACTCCAACCAAACTGTTTTGTTCGAACTGACGCAAGTCTGTTTTAGGATTAAATATTAAACTATCAATAAATTAAGCAAAAGTAATTAAAATTATCCCGTACCTATTGTTTCATTAACTTCTCCATTGTCATTAATAAGCACTGCTGTACCACCAGTCTTTACACGGTTGCCATCTTTGTCAAGTGCGTAACCGCTACGTGACTTCACTGATATCCCATTGAAGAATTGTCCTGGTTTTGGTTTGATATTTTTGATATCTTCAGGCGCTGGTATATTAATGAATGGTGGGGTGGGTAGTATTGGTGGTATTGGTGGGATTGGCGGGATTGGCAAAATTGGGGAGAAGTCAAAACCGAATAGCGGAGGTGGTTGTGGAAGAGGGGGCGGTTGGGGTAAACCGGGGATATTTGGGAGAGGTGGGGGTTGAGGCAAGGGGGGGACATATAGCTGTAAAATAATATTGGTTATATTGCCCACACGCATCATAAAGACGAACATTATTGACGTGATTAATATAAATAACATAAATTTACAAAATAAATGAATACTACACATATATGGATGATTGGTAAGTAAGTAATTAAATCATTATGACCTTACCTGCCTTAATCTGGAAATAAGAAAAAAAAAATTAGTATAATTAGTATAAAGAAACAAAATTAAACAACAACAAACGCAAAATAAATATTATTAATCCATTGAGTAATTCAAGTGGTATTATTTTATCTAAATATTTCTTTAATTCTATATTACATTGTCTATAAAATATTTTATCTGTAATTCTATATATATGAAAAACAATAAATAGACTACAACAGACAAGAACAAAACCTATAAACGAAATATATATATATATAAACATTTAATTTATTTAGAAAAATACTTACTTTGGAAACCTATTATTGTCATCATCCACCCAAACAAATCCAGCTGAAAAAAATAATGTTCAAATATTTATTAAAAAAATCTTGATAACATTAGTAAATTGGAAGTTGTGCACAGAGTAACCTACAGGTATATTTTGTTTTTATTATTCAATTTACTCTCATAACGGGAATTAAAATTATTGATTAAATAAATATGCTCACGACTACAAACCCTAAAGGTTTTATCAGAGGCATTAGTTGATTGTTACTGAATTAAAATTAAATACTTTATAAATCTGGCAATTACAACTACACATATAGCGATATGAATTAAAAAAACAATAAATGCCTGCAATATACCTACGTTTCATTTTTTTTCTACAATAATAATATTGTACACTTGTATCTCTAGCTAGGTAATTTATTACATTGAAAGTATTTACGAATGCGTTTTAAATTATATATGAAGTTGATGTATTGTTACAGTATTTGAACAAATGTTCACGTTGTGCGCACAAGAAGCATGTAATCATTTTATTTAGAGTTATGTCTCATTTTAAAATCATTATTCCTATGATGCAATCATTCAAAATATTATCCTATAAAGAAAACTCATGTTACAACAACGAAATTAACAGCTTAATCAGCATCATTATCAGTCATCATCGAGCAAGGCTATAGAGTTTTTTCTATATTTATAACTATAAAGAAAAGTCAACTGCTATGCACCAATTGGTGCATTATGTTTTTCGACCGACTTTAAAAAAAATAATATCGACATGAGAATAAGAGGCTTTCATTTCCATATTTATTATAGGTAGTATAAGTAATATTTATAGACATATTGATATTTTTTATGTTATTTACCAGTAATAAATCAATTTGGATTATTTTTTTATCTAAAAGATTACGTACAGATTGTTCTGATTAAAATTTTAACAAAATTATTTTAGTAGTTCAGTTTTAAAATAAAATAACTGGTTTTGCTGCAAAAAAACTAGTTTTTTTTTGGAAAACACAATTTTAAATTATCTAAAGTATCATTGTGTTATTATAAATGATAGATCTAGATATAATCTTAAATACCTACAAATTTAAAGTGTGTTAAGAGCTAAAAAAGATAGATAGATACTCTTTCTTGTTTTCTTCAAAATATTCCAGTAGTAAACTTAATAAAAAAAATACAAAATTACAGTGAAAAAGTAAAGGGCGGCCTTTTCGCTAAAAGCCATGTCTTCTAGACAACCTTTAGATGGAAGGGAATGTAAATAGTTTGATAAGAGGTATGATATAAATTCTGTCCATTTTTAAATACATATGAGATGTAATACATACAATAATATAAATATATTAAAATAAATAATACAAATAAACACATATATAAATATATGCCTATTTACATATATACATAAAATATAAAGTTATAAAATTGTAAAGTGTCTAAAGAAGTGATAAATTAAGAAGAAAATTATGGTGAAGATCTTAATAAGTAGAATCCCATGGATTTATACATAGTCATAATAAAGCTTATCGATTACAATTGAATATGTTTGATTTCATTAAAAATTGAATTATCCGTAGTAAATTAAAATTAACTGTAAAATCTAAGATTAGATAAATAAAATACTACTAAAAGTTTAAAATTAACTAAAATGCTGCTTTGAAACTTAGATTATATTGTTTTATTTATTTAATTATTCAATATTTGTTTATACCAAGACGACTACCTTTCAATCCTGTCAAACCTTCTTTTTGCAGATATCCTTTTGGCAGATAAAAAAAATAGTTCAAATATATTCTTACCTATTTAAATTAAACGCAAAGTTCCTCCACATACAAACTTCTTTAACTTTTTTAATTCATAAATTAATATAAAAGCTAAGTAATAATAATCAATAATTTTATTATATATATAGCGAAATCTAATATAATTTAAAAGCATAACTTTAAAATCTTTAATAACAAAATATAATAAAACCACCTAATGCTTAAATGTAGTGCATTCGTTATTTCGATAACTATGCTGAGATTTATGCAAAATATGGGTGTTTGTGTATTACATAATTATAATTTCTAATAAAATACACACAATTCATGTAGTATCGATACTTCACACAATATCGAAGCGTAGTCGACTACGCTTCGGGAACAAGCACGTTATGTAATATTAAAATAACTTACCACTGCTCAGAGCGACGAACGACAGGAAAATTAAAATTTTGGTCGCCATTATGTGGCGAAAATGTTCTTTATTAAAGTGCCTTTTTTTCAAAATACAGTTTTAACTTTAACGGTCTAAAATATACTGGGGTACCATGTATAAAATCTTCACTTAAGTATTATTTGTGTCTTGTTGTTAGAGTTGTATCAAGCTGTGTAAACACTGAGACGAATGGTTCTTTCGCGCTTCGTGGAAACATATTGAATATATGTATATCTATATTCTGTGAAAAAAAAATATAAAAGCAACAATATCTTTTTCAAACAATTTGCTACTTTTGTTAGGGAAGTTTTCCATTTTAATTGATGACTCAGTTCTTCATTATATGCATTAAATAAAGTTGTGAAATTAAAAATAAATTTTTTTGACATTGAAGGTGGATTATAATCCCTCTTCCCTCGAGAGATACCTTCTATGACTTTACGTTTTCATGTTAATGGGACTTCAATATCATTTACTATATCTCACTGCTATCCCAATAGTGAAAAGGCAAGCAACCAAATTACGGATATCTATTGCTACTCAAGATCGTCCTATACAGAGGTTTGACTTTATCTTCATTTATAAATCACACTGGTCACAAATGAAAACTGTAAAAGAAAAAAATATTTTTAAAAGCCCTTAGTATATTGGTTCTATCACAGATAATATAATGCTTGACTCTATGTTCATAATCTACCTCATTCACACACGGTATTCCAGCATAGGTCAAAGATTAGATACAGATAGGTATTTAGTTCATAAATAGCTATCTATATTTGATTTTTCCGTCAAAAATAACTAAAGTCGAATATAAATAAGTCACTCATCATTGCGTGCAACCAACCGACAACCCAATAAACTAACATATCCTGTTTACCCAAATAACTCGAATTCATATATTGAATAACACTAATATTTAAAATCTTATGCAAATTTTTAAACATTTATATGTTATTAGAAAACGGGAATCTAATTAAATAACAAGGCGATACCCTACAACGCAAGCAATGTATTCATCCCGAAGAAAACATCTGCATGAAGTCCGATTAATTGACGTCAATGATAAACATAATAAATTTAAAAAATTCCGGTTGTCAGTTATAATTTATATAGTTGATTATACTGACTCATATATGAAAATATATAGATATGTAACAAACTAACTTTCTTTCACGTATAACCACGCTTTGGAATCAACTTCTAGCAGACGTATTTCTAAACAGATACAACATCGTAACCTTCAAAGACATTCCGTTTTAAAAGCTGGCAGTATACTTGCATTTCTTCTGGTATTGCGCGTGCTCATGGGTGGCGGTAGTCACTGAATATAATTAATGATGTTAAGCAATATCTAACTAAATTATGTACATATATAATATATATATTATGTACATATAGAGAATTAACAGTTTTCAATAGTAAATAGTGTTGTACTTATTTTGTTGCAATTCAAATTACAAACTTAAAAAGTAGAGTTGCATAGAATAAAAAGTTCCTCGAACAAAATGCATAAGACTGTACTATCTTCGTTTGTTTTATGCTCTTTGTATACTACTTCGAAGAAATGATCTACGAGCATGTATTTATAATATAAGCGAGTGTTCTCCAAAAATTATCTACAAAAATAGTGAAGAAGCGTAAGAATGCACTTAAAGAGTTCAAATAAAAAAAAAAAGTGAAAAAAGCAAAGAAGAATGTGCGCAGACTCGTTTGGTTATAACTTGACTTTTAGAGCTCCTACGTGATACGTGATTCGTTAGTTTGTTACATTTTCTTCAATCAATCAATAATCTTCTAAAAGTTTAGTTAAAAAAGCGAAATAATTATCCCAAAGAATCTTCATAAATACCATAAAATAAAAAAATGTCTGCAAATATTAAAGAAATAAATAAATATTTAAAGAAATTAATTCAATACAATAGCTTGTTTACAATACCATCGTTCTCACGTGTTCTGAAATTCTAAGTAATCATTATTCCATTTTGATTAGACACGCTATTCATAAATTCACGTTTTCCAGAAGTATGCTCGAAATGGTCTATTGTACAAAATATGATGCATATAGTTTAACAATACGAGATATAATACGGCAAAATTACATCGCTCTGTTTGTTTAATCATTCACCGTCACATGTATTGATACAACTGCATAGCTATTAAGCATTATTGTATACAAACTAGTGGTGTTTTTGACACATTTAGATTTATGTAAAAATTACTGGAAAATTCCATCGCATTTATATTAAGTTAGAAAATGGTTTCATTTGTTTTCATTCAGTATATATTTCCACAACATCAGAGATAAACAAAAACATTAAATTTAATCTTTCAAATAAGGTTATTTTAAAAGGTAGTGTCTAATCAGTCAGATAATCGTTGTTTTTCCCTGTATACTTCCATACTTCTTAAAGAAATGGATCAATGAAAAAGCAATGAAGAGCTCTAAAACCAATAATGGGCGAAGCCGGTGTGATATGAAAAATAGTGTTAAAAATAAAAATACCAAATTGTATTGCTCTACGTTCCCGGAAAAATACAACCTCGTAACTTCAATTCGATAGTAAGTAGGTATCTGGATAAACACGCTCTACTTGAGGTCTTATCATCGCTTACTATTAGGTAAAACAAGATCACTCTAATCAACACGCAATTGTGAAAAAAAAAAGTTATCCTAAATGCCATAGCCAGTTAGGAAAAAGTTATGAAGGTGAATAAAAGGTGTTGGCCTTGATAAAATCTATTATAGAGACAGACACAACGAATGAATTATTGCCAAATGTATCTGTAACAGTGCTGTGTAACCTTTATGACACATATACTGATATCATAGGACATTTGTACAATACAACCAAGTCTGCATGAATCATGATCCGATGTTAATCTCATTACAATAAAATACTTAATATATCCCACAACTTTGTTCACTTGAATTTAGATTAGGAATTTTTTGTGTCAATATAGGATCTATAGATGGATAACGATGTCTTTGTTGCCAAACTTTTTTCAAATCCGGTCTACCTATTAAGGATGATGACATACAAATATCTTAATATACATACTATTAGATCACAACTGCTGTCGCAACTTCTTCCACGTCGATTGATGTTTAGTCCAATATAAAATGTAAAATTTCCAACAGATATCTTTCCGCAGTCTTCAATGAGATATTATTAAGAATCGTACTAGTTTTCTATAGACTTTGTATTACTACTAGAGAATAGTGTTTAATTAAGCGATCATTACGATAAAATGTAACCATTTACCGAGGCATATCGCGACATTACCGAACTATATTACTTAATTATAATATTTAATTATACCTATTACTTAATTTTTATAAACCATAAAAGTTGTCTAAAGCTTTAGAACTAATATGTATAACACTCCTTTTTGCTCCGCCGTAGTCAGATAAAAAGATGTAAAAGTTTACGAATGCGAAAAAAGAAATCGTACATAATTTAGGCTCCTGAGCAATGACTTTATGTGTTCTTTGCCCTCCCTTAAAGCTAAATATGCTTCCACAATATCCTTGCAACACAATTAAATGCCCTCTATAGAGCCGCCGTTAAAGAATCTTTATTCTCTATCAATTCTTAATATTCGTGCTGCAATATAGACTCCAACATATAATAATCTATTAAATAGTAATAATGAACACTAGCTTTATTGCGCTACTTAGTCCACATAGATACTCGTATCAGAAGTAGGAAATCCAATGAAATAGACAATTGTAAGGTGTATCAAGATTGAATAATTATAAAAACTGCATCCAATTTGGTGCTATATGGTTTTAGCGTGATACCGGAATAAATATACAGCAATACCGATATTTCTTCTCTTTTTGTAATATTCCTTAATTTTGTAACCTTTGATAACATTTTAAGAGGGACGTTGCTGCCCATCCCTTGACCATTAATATCCCTTTGTTGCCTTTTAGGACACTGACAAGAAAGGAAGGTGTTATGTACTTAATTATACATATAAGTAAGATAAAATAAGATTAGGTATAATAATAATAATGCTTATTAATTTAGAACACCACCACACAACAACAGCCGGATACAGTGAGAGGTCAGTGTAAAAACCACAAGATGTATTATATGCTTTTACTAACTACTTGTAACGACATAATAATATACGGCATTAGGGTCATTGCACACACACGATATTTTTAGAACCATCATTTAGCATTATTAGCATTTTTGTGGCTGGATTGACACTGGATTTATTTAACATGTCAACAAAACAGGTTATTGTGTTTTATGCGTGTTTTGGCCATTCTATCAATACTACCTTAACCAAGAATTCGAAGAAAGAAATATCCAAATATAAGTATCAAATATAAATGGTCAACAATCCTCCCAAAACAAAGGTCGTGGAATGGGCTTCTTATCAAGGTTTTCCCAAGAGATATTATATATAATTATACTACTATATTTTTTTAAAGAATAATAAAGGTATAACCTTTATTATTCTTTTAAAAAATATAGTAGTGAACTTAGCAAAAGGAAAAAAATATACAGCATAGAATCTAAGAAAGTAGGAATCTTAGGCACCCATGATAGTCTATTATTTATCGCAAACATCTATAGCAGTCCATAGACTAGTATCATATCACTTAGTCCCAATATTAAATTTCGGCAACTTCAATAATGTGTTTGTAGTAAATACGTTTAATTTTTTTCTTTTTATTTTCTTTCAGATGAAACATAACTTAAATAACCGATCGGAATTGTTAATATTGGTATTCAATAGCTTAATAATCCTGTGAGTTTAGTTTAAATCAGATAATTAACCTCCCAAATTAACGAATCTATCGGTTTGTACATTATTGCTGTCGCATATATGAGATGAGACATTAATATTTCGTTATTTCTTATAACTAACGAAAATGTATTTATCAAATTATAAATGAATTCATTTATCACTTAGCTAAGGGAAGCTCCTTTAATTTTATTCCTAAATCTTATTCTTAAGTCCTTGAATTAAATACAAAAATTAAGATAGTTGTTTATCAGTAACAATATAAATACTTCGTCCAGTATGAACGCATCTCAATTACATACGATTTAACACGGTTTACATCAACCGACGCATCCTGACTATATTTTAGAGGCGGCTGCGCAATCGAATGC